GGTAGTTAATTTCTGGAACGAGAATCAGTAATAACAAACGGCTATGTTCGACGAGTTCTCAAGTTGACGTATGGCATAGGATTAGTCTGTCGATGGAAAGCTACACCTACAAGGTGAAAGCCGAGTATGCTATACTAACTACGACATACCAACTACGAATCGTTTTATCTTATTATTTTTCTATTCAAAGTTTATTAATCTATTTCATTTCATAAACTTTAAAATCCATATAAAAATCACACATGGGAATGTTACATTATTTATAATTAATATCAAATATTATATAACAATATAATTTGTTTTCTGTGCGTTATATATATATTTTTTAAAAACTTCTATATAAAATTTGTTTAGCAGAGTAACCAAATAGCACATAAATATTATAATAAAAATTAATACTACGATACTATTTTTTTATTTCATAAGAAATTTATAAAATAAAAATAAATAAATTCGTAATACATCGATGGAATAAATTATTAAACAGAGATTAACAACACAAATGTAAAATTCTTACGGAAATTATATAAAAATTAAATTAAATATATATTATAATAAAATAATAATAATTTTTGTAACATTTTCACAGAGAGAGAGAGAGATGGAAAATTATTTATACGTAGAAGAATTTTTAATTAAATAATCCCACATTCCACTTATGTGTTCATGCATATTTTACATACGCGCATTTGCACATATATAATAATCTTAAAATATGCGTTTCGTTCACGAAGTTAAAACACATACACGCATATGTACAAATATATAAATAGAATGAGAGAGAGAAAACCGCGTGCTGTTTGACGCGCGCGTGATCCCGGATGCAACCAGAAGAAACTTAACTCTCGAGGATGCGTTTCGTTAACCCACGCGTGACCTCTATTCGATCGTCCACCCTCTAACGATTCGATAACAAAGACAATTAAACATATACAAGTAAAAGTGAATGATTAAAAAAATCCTAAAAAACTAACAATTATGCACTAGAAATAATTTTCAAATCTAAAGACATCACGCAATTGATTTCTCTCAAAAGTGAATTAAAAATTCTTCAAATATCATCAATATAATATATACACAAACATAATATTTAATTTATTAATAAATTATATAATAAATGAATTGAATTGCCTATAAAGTTCACCCCGATGACTATTTTTTATATCTATGTTAAAACAATTAGTTGTAATTGACAATTATACTAGTAACGCGAAGAAAGTAATTACCATTTGATATTTAACCAATTTAGCTATGGTGATTTCTTTGAAAAGTGTCTGCTTAAATTGTGTCGTAAAAATAGCTATAACAGGAAAACACTCTAACACGTTAAAACAGTAAAAACATAAAAGTGGCTAATAAAACTTGGAAATATGGTCAAATAGAACACACGTTTGCACAAACTTGTTTCATTATTTTTGTATCCCCTGGCAACCCTAACAAATGTCTATACATTATTTAAGTGGGTTTCACATCTTGTATATAAATTGTTTAAATATATTAGACAGTTCCAGATTCATTAATGCATCCAATGTTGCCTGTTTTGATCTGCCCTATATGATTTTTCCACATTCACCGATCGTAAATTGTATTGACCACATTTCTATTTAAATAGGTTAATGGATTAATTTGATTTAGTCCAACGTTACACTTGATAGATCTACATGAATATAATACACGTAAGTAATTATATCTATTTATCTGTCTAGAGAATTTTAATCGTTCCGATAGCAGTGATATCGTAGTATTTGAATAACAATAAGTCACTGCCATTGGTAAAACTGAATGAGAACTTGTTCAGAGAAGTGCGTAGGTTGTTCTACAATGGTTGGAAAGAAGTCGGCCTTCGAAGAGTTCCTAGCTTATACACTTTCAAATTCCCGAGGACCACTAAACCTTTATGAATATAAACATAACAAGTGGGATTATTTCGATCATTCATGATCGAAACACCGATTTAATTTCAAATTCTATTCGAGATTTAAAATATTGTTCATTTTTCTCCCTCTCTCATTCATAGATTAACAAATAAATTTCTTACTTCCACGTTCGAATATGTTTCAAAAAAATAAATTAACCCTCGCATAGATTATTTTATTCGATTAAAGATTTGCTTGCCAATAATATGTGCGCGCGAATTTGTACAAATATATTCGATTAATATTTTTAAATAAATTTACATAAGATTTTTATTTAAAATCGGCAAAAACATTACAGGCAAACCCTGACGCAATACTAACGCAAAATTGTACGATTACCTGAAAAGTTCTCTTATCGATTTAGGAAAAAAGAAAAAACGTATTTGAATGTTAACTTTAATTGTCACGAATTTTTTGGACAATCCAATATACTTTACGAATAAGTAAAGATAAAAGTATAGTATTTGAAAATGTCTACATTCCAATCCCTATGCGAAATGTATATATTTATAAATGTGTATTTATATTTATATATATGCGTTCGTGATCGATAGTGATCCTTACAGCATTAAGATAAAATTTTTTCGAACTATTACAAAAGCACTCTGCGCATACATATATGTATGCATGTGATCAAGATAAAATGACGTCAGCTACCAAAAGGTACTGTCGTATATCGTTTAGTGGTGATCACGATCTCGATCGATTTATTCCTGTGAATTACATCGCTCTACCTTTCTCTATATGGTTTACATTTCGAACACACTTACGTCAGATGTCAAAAGGTTCATAATAACGAATTAAGAACGAATTCATTTAATTTGGATTAAATTCTAAATCCCTTCAACGTTCTTGCATTTATTCTCTTGAAACTATAATGCAGTAAATGAATTATTTTTATGATATGGGATTTCAATTCTTAGATCTATTATATTTGCTTGGGGAAAAAGTTTCTTCGTATTTTTCCGATAGATGATTTCAGGATCGCATAACTTTTTTATTAACTATCGTTTTTCTTTTTTCTAAACCACGAACGATTAGTGCATGCAAAGAAGAAACGAATGAAATAATTCGTAACGATCGAAGTAAAGAAATAAATATAAAATTCTAATCAAAATTTGATTAAATTTATTTTAAATATAAATAAGTTAAAATGTTTCACCAATCACATCCTATATTTTGTTTTAACACAATCAAAAGAATTTAGCACCTTCTATCACTTTCAAGGATCACCGATCTAAGAAACAGATTTCGTGACAGATCGCGACAAACATTCTTTAGCAGCTTGCTAAACCATTCTCTTTCCGTACACGGTGAACGGTAATAGGAACTCTAACATTAGCTCATCTAATAAATTAACAGTGAGCAGATAAAATAAGAGAAAATTAAAAACATTGATTACTATGCAATACACACATCAATTTTCTAATCATATTACTGTTCAATCTGAATCAAAAATATTCTAACGAAATCTCATACTGCAAATCAATAACAGGCGTTATTTTTTTTCTCTTATCTAACTTCCCGCAACGCTAAAGTAAACACAGTTTCTTGGAATGTAATAATTACTAGTTGGAATGAATACAACAGGAAATACGTCAAGAGCATAACAAAATATTTTATAATAAATTAAACGAAGTAAAATTGTCAGCCAGTTACATTTTTTCTATCCCCGAAAATGATGAAACTATGTATCTAAGTTTATATCTCTTTTTTTTCAAATTATGTACAAGAACTATACTTATGTATTATACATGCTAACAAGAATAAACAGAGGACAATGATCTACAATCGATGTAACGAGGAGACTGCTTGGCGTCGGACCTTTTATCCCCCACCACTTACACCTAATTCCCGTCCTAATTGGTTGGATTTAAGAGCAGTAACCGGTAGCACGTGCGCGTGGCACGTGCCATTAGGAATTCAACTTTGCAATTCTTTTCCTATAAATATTTCTTATTTTTACTATTATTTCTAAGAATCTTTAAACTATTCTATGATTCATTCTGTCTAATTCCTAAGAAATTTATAAATCTTGCGTATATAACTTTAATATTAATATTAATATTTAAATTAATTTTATGCACCAATTTTTTGTTATATCAATATATTAAAAATGATAATTATTTGTTGTATTCAATATAAAACACGTATTTTTATATTTAATTTCATTCTTGTATCTGATTGAAATGATTGTATATGAAGAAATAACGAAGAATAATAAAGTTTTCCTACCTATAGAAAGGCTGAAAAGTTCTGAATACAACATGTGGAGGGGTGCAATAGAATGATCTGTTATTTCGTACATTGAAGAAGCTAAAGATGCATTTTGGAAATTGGTTTATAAAAAATACCACACAAAACAGCAATACAGAGCTTAATCTTTAAAAAATGTCCTTCTTTGAAGTATAAAGATATATAAACTATTAAATTATGCGTAAAATTATTTCAAAAAATAGCTGTATATTTATATTTAATAATAACGATTGAGTGTGGTTTATTAAATATGATAAAATAGGAATGATTTAAATGAAAAGTAAGATTATAAGCTATCGAATAGTCTCGATTATGACCTGTACCAAATTCAGGTTTGTGACACAGATCTCGTCTCCATTTAGGCTGAGGTATACGTAATATATATGTATATACAGAATATCCCGAAGTTTACCGGTCAAACTAATGGAACACCTCAAACAATATGTTTTGATAATTATAACAGGGGATTTAAACAAAAATTGTTTTTATATGATTTATTTTATAATATTATATTGTAATATAAAAAAATCATAAATTTCAATTTTTATGAATTTAATCCATTGGCATAATAACCGGCATATATACAGCGCGTCCAACCGAATAAAACGTAAAAGTTTCTTTTTTAAATTTGTTTAAAAATGAAGCGCCACGTAGAAAAAAAAATTGTATTCTATTATATTTTTCTATCTTATTTTTCCAAAAAAAGGAGAATCCTGACGCAACTCTGTGCCAATTCGTAAATATTATTCAGCTGGATCCTGTATAAATCGAACATAAAAACATAATGCAATTGAATAAAACAAGAATAACAAACCAAAAGAAGCTTACCTTAACTTCATAATGAATATCATCAGAAATGGAAATGAAATCTTTGCTCACTCCCGGAAGCAACATCATCGTCGTTTCCTCCTCTTTCTCCCCCTTCTCCTCGTTTACATAAGGACATGTAAGAAGGTCTTTGGTAGAACGAGGGTTCTCTCCCTCCACTGGATCAGCAGAACATATACCAGTAATACCCGAAAGGGATTCCGTTAAAGAGCTCTCTTCGAGGATTCGAAACACCATCTCATTCTCGTTGGAATCGTCGTTGGGAGAGGAGGTGTATTGCTTTCCCTTCTTACCGACATCAACAAAACTGTCGATTTTTTTTCTCGATTTACCCTTCCCCCTTCGATCATCGAGTTCAGCCTCTGGCGTATTCTCCCCTCCGGATTCATCCATGTTCAAAACGGTGGAGGATTGAACGAGGCTCGTCATCATCATCGTAGTCGTCGTTGTAGTTGTCGTTGTCTTTCCACCACCAGCAAACGATTGCTGCTGTTGCTGTTGGTGCAAGCTTTCGAGATTTCTACGATCGAGCCGAATACGTGAACGAGCCTCGCCCATCTCCTCCTCCTTCTTTGATACCTCTCCGACGTCATTCGTCGCATTCGCTGATTATATAGTACCGACAGAAAGAGAAAGAATGATAGATAGATAGATAGAAAGAGAGAGAGAAAGAGAGAGAGAGAGGATTGAGTGACAGGAAAGAGGGACAAAAAAAGAGAAAGAAAAAAAAAAGAGATGTAAGAAGCGTTGAGAACGTGAGTCGCGTATTACACACGTACACACCGTGTCTTGATTCCAACTACATGATCTGTCCGAGTCGAGACGCGATTCACTCCCGTTACCGCGGGAACGACTGACGCCCTCCCTACGTCTGTCCTCTTCATCCACCCTCCTCCTCCTCCAACCCCTTCACCCACCACCCTCCTCCTCATCGTTCTCTCACCTCTCCCCCACCCCCAATCCTACTCTCCTATACGCACCGTAAACGCGCTGCTCATCTCTACCACTAACCCGGCGCATTGTGCTCAGAGTGAGAGAAAGAAAGAGGGAGGAATGTTCTTAGTTTTCTAATTCACGATATACTTTTATAATTTCTTAACGCCTAGTCAAACTATGTTGTTTATGTGTACTTTTTTTTCTTTTTTTTCTTAATTTTAATATTTATATGAAATGTATTTGTGATTATAGTAGGTTGGTCGACAAATTTTTATAAGCCTCGACTAAAAATCTTTTATTTCTTTTTTTTTTTTTTTTTTTTTTTTAATAAAAATTAATTTCATCGAAATAAAATTGTTTCTACGATAAGAGACTCAAGACTTTTCAAATCACCCATGTATATGATTATATGTATGTGTATATATACGTGGTAGTAATTTTTATAATACAAATTTATTTATCTAATTTATTTTATAATATACATCATGAATTCAACTTTTTTAACTTTAATCTACTGTCATAATTATCAATCCATATACAGCCATTCTAAAGGCTATTTTGTTAATATCAATGTAACATGTTTACTTCGTTTAAATTTACATTTTTCATGTTTCTTTTTGTTCTTTTTATTTTGTGCATACTTGAACGCATCTGTACAACAGAAATATCTTTAACTTCTTACGCTTGTTTTAAATGCACCCGCACTTTTCCAATCGTCACGCGCTCTAACGGTGAGCGATTGAACTTAAAAAGGCGCTTAGAATTTAAATCGTATTTCATGAGTTATGATTACTTTTATTTATACATGTATATACAAATATTCTTGTAATTTATTCTCATGTTAAATATATATAATATGTTTTAAAAAATGTTTTTCATTTTTTTTAGTTTAATTTTTAATTCTATAAATACGATATACGAGTAGTTAAAATTTTATTACATATTTTATAAACTTCGTACATATTTCTATGTCTTTTTTATATTTGTCGTAAATTCAATCTCGTCGATATTATATTATTAAATCTTCTTATTAAATTACAGATAATTTTTTCGTTACTAAGTTTTTTAATTTAGTAACGTAAAAACTTGTAATACAATATAAATTTAATAATAATTTTTAAGAAAAATATTATAATAATAATAATAATTGTATTATTATTATAATTCGCGAATTATATTGAATTGTGCGCGCATTATAAAACTTGCTCTTATTCATAGTAGTTCGTATTTCTAGTATAAGATCATGATATATAAAAATGAAAAACATAAAGACTGCAATAACTATACAACTAAATTATAAATAAATATAACATTAGCTTGAAAACTAATAAATAACGCTTCTCCGTATATATTAAATAATATCCATAAAAAAGATCTATATAAAGAAAATTAAACCAAATAACAATTGTAAATATTTATCCGAAAAAGAAAAAAAAGAAAAAATCAACGTAAACGATTAATGAGGTGGTTGCACCCAACCACCGAATGCAGTTTCTAATTCTTTCGCTACAGCGATACATAAATGATCTCTGTATGGAGCTGCGATTACCTAAACCATATAATTAAATAATTTGTTAAGTAAATTTATATTAATTGCTACTTTTTTAAAAGTCAATACTTTTTAACAACTTTAACATACCTGAATACCCACAGGCAAACCATCGTAGTCTAATCCAAGTGGAACTTGGCATACTGGAAATTTAAGAACATTGAACAAAGCCCAATAAGTAAAATTATATGGTCTCAAAAAAGAAGAATAATGATGAACGGCAGGAAATGGTGCAGAGGGATAAAATAAGACTCCGTTGCTTCCTAAAACATTCTATTAAAAAAAAAATAAGGCAAAGAGTATTCGTTATAATCGTGACAATTAGATATAAGAATTGTATATGTATATTCTAATAAAAATGATATATTACATACCAATAAATATTGTTGCATCTCGGAAGTAAGATTTGTAGCCCATTCAGCATTTTCTTTTGGAAGGAAATCTTCATCCATTAATTTAAGTAATGCGGCAAATGTTATATCGGATTTATTCAATATAAATTTTTTTATTTCTTCTACTGTATTTGCACGGGACTGTGAAAAATCAATTTTATAAATGATATGATATTAAAAATATTCATTATTTTCACAAACTATATCATTACCTTTCCATTAGTTAAATCTTTCTTAAAGTCAGCTTTTTCTTGAGTCATCCAATATCTCCATAATTTAAAACTATATTCCGATCCAGGTATTTTAATCTACGGTAGGATACAAAAAGTACTTATATTTATAAAACTTTAAATAGATACAGGTTTATCATTGTTTCATAGAATAATTTACTAAAGGAAATAAATACCTTAGTCGCAGGAGTTTTAGTTATTTCTTCAAAATATTCTATTGTCCTTTTAAATGCAGAACGCATCGAAGAACACACTTTACTTGTTCTAATATCACCAGAACTTTTTTGATAAAATATTCTCAACTTTGTTACATCCACTGCTTCATCTAGTTTTAACATCGATATTTTATCACCTACCAAAACTTTTAGCATCGGTGTTAAGTCTTCAGCCAATTTACAGATTGGACCTGCCTCTGCCATTGATTCGGGATAATATTCAGTTCTTAATCCAATTCCTTTCAAAGATGTCACTCCTACCAATAAAAAATATTAAAATATGTATTATACACCTAATCCTTTTTTTAAACGATTTTGAAATAATATGATCCAAGAGAAAAACTGTTTTATTTTTTTAACATGGTTTATTTCCTTTAACATAATTTCAAAATTATTTTCCTCGTACCTATTTGCTTAATTATAGTGCATTTGACAAAACATTTTTTTCAGGATGAAACGTAAATCACGTGGTATTAAGTGAATATATACTTATGTGTAATATTATGTGGTTCTTTGAATTAAATCAATATTTTGAGGAATGCATTTACTGTATAAAAAAAAGTTTTGAGTATATTGGTAAATACAATTAGTTTTTACCTTCACTAGGTTTCATTCCAAATACTCCATTGTAAAATGATGGCATTCTAGTAGATCCGCCAATATCACTTCCAATTGATATCGCTGAACCACACGCAGCGATAATAGCACCTTCACCACCACTACTTCCTCCAACTGTTCTGGTTGTATTGTAGGGATTACATGTCTGACCGTATAAATTGTTTCTCGATTCAACCCACAAATTTAGTTCTGGAATGTTTGTTTTAGCAATAAGTATACCACCAGCTTTTTTCATATTAAAAACCACTGTTGCATCTGATTGTGAACGATGATTTTTACGACTAATCAATCCCATAGTATGCAATAAACCTATAAAGAAAAAGAAATATATATGTAAATAAAGATTCGTAGATAACTGGGTAATATATAATTAAAGTCTTAATATATTCTTAATCTACTTACCTTCCGCTTTGTTGCTTTCTTTAGTTGTGAATGGAACACCTAAAAATGGTCTAGTTTCTTTCAAATCATCAGTATCTTTATAAGACTCTAATTCAAAATCAATTTGTTTAGCATCTTCTATTGCTTCTTTAAATCTGTCTTCTACTATTGCATGGATGATTTTATCAACTTCTTTACATCTTTCGATAAAACTTTGTACGACTACTTCAGCTTTAACCTCTTTTGTTCTAAGTGAACAAAAAAAGTAATAATTAGATGAAATATAAAAATTTATTAATAAAAAAACAAAATATGTGTACACCAAGTAGCAAAAGTATGTACCCCAGTGATCAATTTGAAACAATTAATACTTGCTCGTAATGCAATATTTCAATAGTCTTCTGCTCTATTAATATTAATTTCATTGCAAAAGAATAGTTTGTTGTAAGAGAAATATAATTTGACATAAATGATAAGAAAATTAGTTTCGCAAGTTGCCTAATCGTTTCAAAAGTTCTTGATCTTAGTTTTTCATGTAGAAAAATTTTGAAACTTTGCATTATGAACAAATACCAATTATCTACAGTTTACAGCAGAAGTGTAAGTACGAATACTCTAATGACTTGCTGTATATAATTTTGGAATAAATTACTTACTTAAAGAAAATTGAAATGAGAATAAAATAAAAGAATAATGAAACTTTACCTAATCTTCTCCGCTAATGCAGTTGCACTTTCCAGCAGCAGAGGATTCATAACGGGTGGTACTTTAGTTACTTTTCTCTCGTAATAAAAATCAAATATATAACTTATTAAACAATCGAATAGACTGTGAAGTTGAATGAAAACGCATTTTATCAAATTTAGAATGAAATGTTTAATTGCATTCATTAACGAAGGTTCCAAATGTTTCTGAAAAAAAGCGAACAAATAAAAATTAATACATTAATTAAAAGCTATTAAATTAATTACCCTATTGTGTGTAGAATAAATAATAAAAGTTAATACCTTAGAGGAGTAGATTTTTGTAGTACACATGATAATTCAATCAACAAGTACAATGTAATTAACTAGAAAAATACTTAAAGATTGTTAAAATAATATTACAACGATAATACAGAGAATCAAATAAATTTATACAAACTCTTAACAGTATTTATATATCAGATCTGATAAATACGTTTTATTAGAATCTAATCAAAATTTGCTAATGAATCAGCAAATAAATATGGAAAAGTTACATAAATGTATAATAATATTCAAATGGAATGGGATTTCTTACTTCTCTTGAACTATCAACCGACATTAACTGATTCTAATTAAATTTCTTTTGCTCGTTTGAAAAACTATTTCGCAGTAATAACTGTATATATTTAGTATATATTGTATATCTATATAGAAAGTTGTTTCTAACTTACCATCGATAGGTAATCACAAATCTAAACCTTGAACTATATAAATTCATAGGAATTTATGTACATGTATATGACTATAAATATTCATTCTTATTTATGTTACCCTCTCTTCCATTGTTACTTATTCATTTAAATGGTATATTTATCATCAACTTTGAATCAATATTTTTAAGGTATCATTAATTTAATTCAAACAGATTCAAAAAACAAATGTTTTCTATGTCAACCAATAGAAACTGATATCTTGTATGTAATGTCTTGTAATGATTTTTAGTTAATTGGACAAAAATAAACTTGTACTATTATATTACAATCCATAATAGTTTAAAGAATTTACATGAAATCTGTGAGATTATAGCTACTATTTATTAGTTATAATTTTGATGTGTCTGAAGTTACTAGTAGGATGTGTATCTTATGTATGATGTATCTTTGGTATATAGGGTATTTTATAGATTATGACATGAGTGATAAATTAGTGGTGAGTAATATTTAACATAGGACTATAGTCTATAAACATGGAGTCTAAGCTTCGTTGGACTAACTTATAATATATGTCATTGGTTATTATTATACATATATATATACATAACTCATTTTTAGGATTCGTATCTATGCATGATTTTGATGAAACATTTAATGACGTGTGATCTTGACAGTTTTGTATTATCACACTATAATCAAACTTCTTGTTTATCTTATTGTTAGAAAATTATATTGTTATTTTATGTTATTAATATATATTACGTGTCACATTCTAGCGTTAAATTAATTAAGAGATAAATTCTTAACTTGGGAGGTTGCAAATTAGCCGTCACAACGGGGATCGAACAGTCAGCTATGTCCGTCTCTCAGATGGAGAGTATCCTTTTTATTATTATTTATCATTTTTTATCATATTTCTATTTCATCGTTATATATATATATAAATATATATTTTATATTGATAAATATATTTAATGTTTGTTTTATGTGTTAGAATTATCTGACAGTCAACTGTTATTGAAATAATTAAAAAATTAGAATAGAAAATTCTTTTACTTCTGTGCTAATAAACTTGTTAATTTAATCGAATTTAGTTTAATAAAATATTTGTTTACTATTAACATTGTTCTATTATTGTAAATATATTTTATTATTTTAATTTATATATTAAATATTTTCTTTTCTATATTTAATTATATATAATAATTCCTTACATAATGGTACATAGAGAATTTATTCAATTTGAAGTTCGCTGTAAAAGAATTAGAAAGAAATTCGAAAAAATGCGAGAAAGAAGAGAAAATAGAAAAAGCCAAGGTGAAGAAAGCAATCCAAAAGGGAAATATGGAGGGTGCAAGAATACACGCAGAGAATGCGATTAGGCAAAAAAATCAAGCTCTCAATTATCTGCGTATGAGTGCTAGAGTTGATGCAGTTGCAAGTAGAGTACAAACAGCATTAACAACGAGAAAAGTAACGCAATCTATGGCTGGTGTGGTCAAAGCAATGGATGCCGCTATGAAGTCGATGAATTTAGAAAAAATATCTGGTCTTATGGACAAGTTCGAAAGTCAATTTGAAGACTTGGATGTTCAAAGTTCTTACATGGAAAATGCTATGTCCCAAACAACAACAACTAATGTACCACAAAATGATGTCGATTCGTTGATGCAGCAAGTTGCTGATGAAGCTGGGTATGTTTTGTTTTATTGTTTGTCAATTTTATTTATTTTTTTTTATAATTTTTCTTTCTATTTAATTAATATTTATTTATCACATTTAGACTTGAATTAACTATGGAACTTCCACCGGGACAAGAAGGAAGTATTTCAAGTAATGTATCTGTAACTCAAGAACAAGATGAGCTTACACAACGGTTGGCACGTTTAAGAGAATAATATATATCTACTTTGTGTAATAAAAATGTTATATATCTATGCAATTACAAAGAAACAGATATTATTGATAAAATCGGTCTTAATATTCTGTATTTTAATGGTATTAATATCAAATGTTAGTTACATTGTCAGATACATGTAGATATATAAAATAATACTAATCGCATCTCCGATATACACAAGTTAAAACGTCGGTGTAACTAACAGCTATTATTATCTATTATAATTTAATCGTTTCTATGTTATATATGTTTTTATATTTGTAACATATTTTTATTACATAAAGTATTTTTCTTCTTGCAAATATATATAATTTTGAGTCAATTTCATTTGAACTTAAAATACACTTAAACCAGAAAATTGTTCGACAGAATTTTTGCATTGAATATTTAACCATTTGATATGTTTGTAAAATTATAAAAAATACCAACGAAAAGAACCTAAATATGGCGTGCCTTTTTGCATATAATAGCATTCACAATATAAAACCTAGCTAGATTTATATCAGATGACTATGCGTACTATTCAAACTTTCCAATACATAAGAATAACTAAATATGCGCTTTTAATGTTGTAATACTGCATTACTAATAGATACATAGATATTTAAAAAATAAAATAATATATACTTTTGTATTCTTATTAACTGTGTATCTATATCAACAGTCAATTTAATTAACACATGCTTTTAAAGAGTATTTGTTAAAGCACACAACAGTAATTATAAATATACTATTTATGTATTATAATGCATATAAATAATAATTGAATTAATAACAATGACAAAACAAAATATAAATACAATTTACAATGATTTTTTTCCACTATTACCAAATTGTATCGAAATAACAAATATTTCGAAAAATACAAAGTCTTAATCTTTTGCTTTCGTCGTAAGTAGAAATAATTCGTATATTTACTTGTGTCTATATTTAATTATTTAAAAAACCTGTAATATATATAATAGAAAATTCGAACAAAATGTAGCTTACCTTTAAATATAATACATTGTTTCCTAATCTGAATCATTATTATAACATTTTTTGATCCAAAGTATATCATAAGGAGCGGCTTGTTCCAAAGTAATCATTTTTTCTTTATGTAATTCTTAAAGAAAAATTTTTTTTGTACAAATACTTTTTACATTTTTATTATATATATAAATAATATATCGGTATATCAAAAAAATAAAAATTTACCTAAAAGTAGAACAAAACTACGTGTCGCATCAAGTTTACTGTAGTATTCAGATGAAATAAGATCAGTGAATTTAACCATTTCCGAGTCATGCCAGAGAACTTCTAAAAATGCAAGTAATTCAGTTTTTGTCAAACGTGAGTCTTTATGTTTCAAAGTTTCCAGACTAAAAAAAACAAAGGAAATAATTATGCACAAATATAACACCAATTAATTATAAATAATTAATCATTTACAAGATATCCCAGGATTTACTAGCCAAACTGTAGGAACATATTCTTTCTACACGTCGAAATACGAAGAAAATCTTATAAAACATTTCTAACCAAACTTCAAATAACATTTTTTTCTTATTAACACATGTAGAATATACTACTGCAGTATGGTTGATAAAACCTGGGACACCCTGTATATGATGTTTGCTATTTTTATATTAAAAATAAAAAAATACATTTTCTATAGAATATTTTATATTTATAATATAAAAAACTTACGGCTGATCGATTCCTTCCTCAAACATTGTAATGTCAGGAATCTTCTCATGTTCCACAATATTTAACATTTCAAAATCTTGTTCTATATTTTGTATATGGGTTTGATGGGCAATTTCTGATATTGCCATTTCCTGCTGTGAAATCATTATTTCATCAGCACTAGTTTCTTTCATAGATTTTTTACTTTCCGGAATTAATCCAGATAATTCAGACAATTCATTAGTTTTGTTACTTTTTGTTTCCAAACGTATAGTATCAGTTGCTAAAAATGTATATGACGTTAAAATCAAAGATAAAATATAATAAATAAAAAATAAAATTAATTTTTAATACAAGAAATACGTTTTTCTAGCTTACATTCTATTTGTGTATCCATTCTAATAGACGAGAGAAAAGTGTGCATCATGTCAAAAAGTTTATTCAAAGGATTGTTCCATTTGTTTCTGCGAGTGGAAAGAAACCTTGCTGGTGCTCCTTGAAAAAGAATTTCTGATGTTGACTTATTAACATCGATAATTTTCAATGGCTAAAAAGTAATAGAACACGATTAATGTTTGCATTAAATACCGTTTAAATTCATTTATGCATTAAATTTAATTGAACTTACAACAGTATGAGCATTGATATTATTGATATATTTTCGTATTACTTTACGGCTGAGCTGAGTTTTTTTGTCAGTAAATATTCTTACTTTTTTAGATTTACTTCTAATTTTTTGAGAAGTCAAGTCTTGTAAAGATTCTACAATAGGTTCTACAAAAACAGGAGCTTCCTCGATCTCTGGTAATGTAATTTCAACATTTCTTGGAACTACTATATCTTCGAATTTTAACTTAAATAATAATTCACTAATTATTTCTTATTATTAATAATAATAGTCTAAATTTTGTTATAAAATCATACACGTCTTTTTTTAGTTGGCGTTTCTATTTTTTCTTGTACAGCAGGCTGTCTCTTTCGAGGCGTCAAATGAGTACTTTCTTCTGGTATAAATTCATCAACTGTTATTTCCGGTATTGCCATTTTCGATAATATTGCATAGTTTTCTTTATCAAATCATAAACATAAACATACATCAAGTACATAGCATGTACACAAGATACAAGTAAATATAATAACAAGATTTGTTATTATTATTATTATTATTAACTTGTCGGTGATATTGAGTAAATTTTGTTTCTTACCATCCATACTAAATTCATCGCGTACTTGTAATATTATTTCTTTTTCAGCTTTTTCATGTGGTACATAAAATTCTTCCGACTCTCGCAAAGTATTCGCGTAGTAAAGAGATGTATCATTTGTATCTGTGATGTGTATTCTTTCGAACATTTCTCTGTATTATAAGGAAAAAAAATAACAGTAGGTTTATATTATTATTTTGTATAATATAAACAAATGATGTTCTTCCAATATTTTTCATAAATAACTATGAAAATAATTATATAAATAAATTTATTTATGAAAAATATTGGAATAAGAAATAGAAATACTAACGCTGAAATTTCTTCATAAGGTCGAGTTAGAACATCGAGTTCTTGTTCCGTTAAAGCACCAAATTTTAAACACTCAGCTTCACGCATCTATATAAGTATATATATAAAATTATGCGTTAAATTCTCGACTAGTATGTTATATTAAAATATGTATATTATGATTTTTACAGAAAGCAATAAAATTACGTTTTCATGTAACGTTTAAACATTTTTTCTATTTGGAAATGAAATTTCATTTAATAATTTTTATATCATAGTCATATATTTACCAAAGTAAGAAGTTTATTATTAATATTATGTTCATGAGGTAATAATTTAAAATTTTCATGTAATTGACTGCTACATGGTGTAAGTACGTTCAAGGAGTCATATTCATCGTTTTCATTATCTCTGTTTATAACAATAATTATAATTTATATTAAAATTAAATTCTCTCTTTCAAATATAAAAGAAAAAGAAACAAATCATTGTGTGTATACCTTTCATCGGAAATCTTGTCAAGCATTTTTTCCAGTTCAATTAAATCTTCTAAAATACCAAACATTAAGTGTTCATTATTGTTTTTTACACGGTTCTTCGAATTAAATCTAATTTTTTATTTCACCTTATAACGTTTTTGGATAACATAAAACGTATCTTCTATTTTACAATAGGAAACTATTTTTTCATAGTATTTTGAGGAATAAATTTATTGTATAAAATAAAAGAGTTGAATGTATATTTGTAAATACATCTGAAATAATTTGATTTTTTTTACGCTAAGAGATAGTAAAAATGAACTTACTTTCTAAATTAGAAACTTGGCATGAATGTATTTTTGTAGCACCATATATCAGTTGGAACGATAAGTAAAGAATAGCTTTACTAGACTGTCGAATATTTATTGTTATAATCGTATTTTTTATTTCATCACTTTTGAAAATAAATATATTTTTTATTATTACCTATTAATTATAGAAAAAAAATGATTTCTTTAATTATACTGACCATGTTTCAAAAACATTAATTTCATTAATAGTTTGCGATTTAAACTTTCGTTGAAATTTTTGTATACTGAGCGTAGCAGCTAACCAACATTTTGAATATTTTCCTGTTTTCGTGTTGATAAAAATGTTTTTTAGATCAGACATCTAAAACAAATAAAAAAATTAATGAATAAGTAAACTTTTAAATCTATTTTCCTATAATTTTTATCTTTTTTACAATAGTTGTAAGACATCATTTTTGATCATTTTTTGTTTAAAGTACTTAAAATTTGCTTTAAAAGAAATAAACGAAAATACTTCATAAATAAGATATGTTTACTTTTCTTTCTTAAGTGTAGATATTATTTGATTTTAATTTGTATGATTTTTCAAATATAAATTATCGATTTTGTTGATCATATTTTTCAAATATGTATTATCAATAAAATTATTTTAGTTTTTATGTATATACAAAATTAGTAAATCAATATTGTATACATAAAAAAGTTTTTAATATATTTTACTTATATTTAAATATATATATATTGAATGATACTAAAAAATACAGATTCGAATTAACGGATTTTATTCTCAATAGAAATTATTCAATAATTTAAATTAAATTACCTTCAATAAATAACTTTCTTAAATATATTATCTTAAATTAAATAAACAAATATATCCTATATTATATTTATTTATTAAATAATTAATTTTTATGCTGCATATAATTTAATTAATTCTCTCCTTTTCTCTTTCTTTCTACTTTTTAAATAATTCTATATAAATTTGTTCATTCTATAATATTTTTCGATAATTACATATTAATCGATATATCGAAACGTTTGCCGATAATTGATTGGTAGATATTTACGTAATCTATCTTTTTATACTCTTCGTAGACAACTTCATTACACTACAATACTTAATATTTCAATAACATATAAAATTTTTTTTTTATTTCAATTTTATATTTTAATAATTATATTAATATATTATATATAAAAGTATTAAT